GGCGTCTACCAATTTACGGATCATCTCTTCCATTCCCCCAAATCTCTCCTCTAGGGATGAGAATTTTCCTTCCAACGACGAAAGCTTCTCTCCCACTTCCTCCTTCAATTGACTCATCTCTCCCTCCAAAACTTCTATCTTCTTTGATGTCATGCCGTCTAGGATCGAGAGCTCTGATACCAACTTGATACGCCCTAGGGTTCCCAAGTTAGGGTTTGCCCTAATGCTCTTCCAAAGATGAAATTTCTCCTCCAAATCCAAGAAAAAATCAACACAAGAGGGATGAGAGGAAGAATAAGAACCTTTGCATTCAAAATCCAAGAGAAACAAAATACAATTTGTCCACTTTGAGAAGGACAAGATCTCCCACTACAAACCCTAGAAAAAACAAGAGAAAGAAACTACGGAGGCTAAGAGAAAACTCCAAACCCTAGAAATCCCCCCTTAATCCCTACTTATAGCAAGCAAAAGACCAAACCAAACCCACTAGTGGGCTGCCCAAGCTGAACCGCCCAGCTCAGGCCTGACCATAGCCAAACCGGTCTAGAAATGGACCGGTTCCGCTCAAGCCGAAGTCCCCGCTCCGCTCTGCGTCAAGCTCCACGCCCGCGTCCCTCCGCGCGATCCTTCGGCGGATCGGCCGACGCGGCCCTCCTTCCCGGCCACTTCCGAGCGCTCCGGGGTCGCCGGCCCTCCCCTCCCTCTGCCGGTCGGCGGCGGCCCGCATCACTATCTTGTCTACATTGTGCTTGATTTGTGGAATGTTATTGAATATCACTTTCTTTCCAATTTGGAAAGTTGCAAAATAGTTTGCTTTCTATTTTTTGGTTATTGTTAAGATAAGACAACTGATTTAGATCTTTTTAATTTTTGAAAGCTTTTTGATTAATTTTATGGTAGTAAAGCCAATAAAATATTGTTTATTTAGATGAAAAAAATTGTATTGTCTTTTTTGCTGTTTCTTTCACAATTTATTTTAGAAAATCAGACTAGAAATTGTGAGTTTGAAAGTATCTTTTAAAAATTTCTGTCAATAAAAACAGAAAAAAGAAGCCGCCCAAGTCAAATCCATTTGCTTGTGAATTTGCTTTTCTGCTGAACTTTTCCATCTGTTACTCTTACGATTGATCATTTGATTTTTCCTTCTAGGTGGAAGGTATGACAAAGCCATGTCGGGGAGCTCTGGACAAAACTCCACCAAAAGATATCATTTGGAAGTCTGTACCTCATCGGTTATTCTTTGCAAGATCTTATTCCAACACATGGGGCCATGGAGGTGTTGCTTTTCTTAATCCTCAAAGCAATATAAATGATAAAAGTTATATGTGCATTTATAGAATAACGTATGTGGTAATCATATTATTCTTCCCTTCACTCGATAGCAAATTCTGTCTTCCATGTTTGAACTAATAGGTTCAAGTCCTTTGTTTTTTCAGCCTTGAGCAGTTCAATGATTTACTGATCCAAGAGAATGCCGCCACTGAACAGTTTGAATCACCTTTGGTGGATTCTCGTGATATAGAGTTTCTAGTAAAAAACAGTTTCATGTCTGTGGAATCTATCAAGGTAGGTTTTCTATATTTAGGTTTTGTTTGTGACATTTTTTTAATTGCTTCGTAAAGTAACTTTTTAGTATAAAAATTAAAAGTTTTGTACTAAAAAATTGCTTTAAGCAATAGTAAGAAAGTCGTTCCAAAGAAAGCCTTAGTTTATTAGCAAGTTACATTAACATCTTTTACCAGGGTAATGAACTGTTTGGAAATCTTCCTTGTTTGCTTCTCTTATCATTTAGTAGAACACTCTATTCCAATTTTGCTAATGTTTTCAAATGAAAAGAAGAAGAAAACTAATAAATTCTTCTGACGGTCACTACTGCAGGGTGGATGGTACTCCAATATCCTTTATTTGGGAGAGCAGGATGGCATTCCAATTTTAACCATGACGTATGCTTTTGTACCCTTTTTTTTTTTAATTTTGATCTTCATTATTTTGGTCAGAGCTGTTTCAAAGTTGGGAATATTATAAATAGGAGCATAATATTTAATTTAAATAAGTAATATGATCATGTGTTTAGAAAAATTTAAAAAGAAATAAACTAGCCAAACAGAATGGTGCATTCAACCCAGTTAGCCAAATTAAATTTTAAAAGTAATGTAGCTATGTGCAAATAGTTTGGCTCATTCAATGGAATGCACCAAAATGTTTAGCACATTTCATTGAATGCGTCAAACTGTTTGGCACATTCTAAATAAGCCAAACAGTTTGGTGCATTCAATGAAATGCACCATTCTGTTTAGCTAATTTGCTTCTTTTTAAATTTTGTTTAATAATTTGTTCTAAACATCATGTTCCTTCTTAAATAAAACCGATCAAAATTTTCACAGAAGAAAAATCGAGTTAGAATATCCTGATTTAAATTAGATTTTCATAGACTTTTTGATCAAATCTATTTCAAAACAAAATTAATGATTAGAAAATTTAGTTTGTAGTGATCATTATTGCAGTTGAGCATGAGTGCCTCAATCTTTTTTTCTTTTTCCTTGAAATCTCAGGTGTTCACTATCAGATGTTGAGAAATTTAAATCTGGTGAGCTACCGGTTTGTGCTCCACCAAAAGCCTATGAGAATACTCTGTTGAAAGGATTATTAGAAGGTACAGAACTCTCGTCTGAGGAAGCCATCGGTTATGTTAAGGACGCTGTTGCTAGAAATTTGTGACTTCCTCAACAATGAACAAGTTATATTGTGGCTGTTTGGATTTTGGATGGCAGAAATTCGAGTGGAAGAAAATGAAAACAAATGATGATGCAAATTTTTAATCAACAGTTAAATGATTGGAATTTGATTTCTTTTTCCTAAGCTTTCCTACAACTCCAAAAAGAAAAAAAAATTGTAGATCTGTAATATATTTGATTGATAGAGTAATGTAGGTATGTAGTATTAAGGTGTGTGCTTTGGATGATGTTCACATTTGTGATGTAATGGTTATACAGAGCTGCTTTGTTTTAGTGATCTGTAAGCATCTCTCTCTCTCTCTCTCTCTCTCTCTCTCTTCATGAGAGCTCTCAGATGTTTTTTTTACTGCTTTGATATCCAAGGCTAAAAAAAATAATAAGCAAGCATAAAAAACAGGCAACAAATGTTTCATTTGATAGTAAACATTGCTAAAATAAACAAGCATAAAGGCAGGCAACAAATGTTTCATGTGCGATATATTTTTTAACTAATTTTTGCAGCAATTTTCTAACACATAAATTTGCTGATAGCAACAAAAAAAAGTGACAAAAAGCTGTGCCAAACAAAGCAAAAATGTGATAAATTAAGGCATTAAATGCAGATAACTTCTTATCAACAATAGCAACATGTAATTTTCAAAAATTATTAAAGCCTCTCAAGCACTATATTTTATAAATTACACTTAGACTTTATTTGAGTAGCTTTCTTCATACTTTTTAAAGCAATTTTTTAATATAATTTTTTTTAAAAAAATTAGAACACTTTTAATTACAAAGTTATTTTAGAAAAGTAAAAAAATTATTTTAAACAAGATTTTAAATTTTATTTCGGACAACTTTCACGAAGTTTTATGAAATAAATTTTGAAAAAACACTAAAAAATTAATTTAAAAAATAAAAAAATTTCTACCAAATGAATCCTTAATCTTACTAGCAATCACAAGAATTTCGGTTATTACTATCATTAAATATTTCATAAACATACAAACCATGTATTTCATAAATTTTCAGATTTAAAAAAACAGCACATGCTTACACACCACTGCACAGGCCTTCAGAATTACAACAATCAGAAAAGACTTGTCATTTATCAACCGATTCAAAACTCAAACATTAATAATGGGTTAATAAGACTCCTAATTGTTTCAATTCTCATTGAGCTACTCAAAACATTGTGACAAAAATATATATATAAAGAGCTTAAGAGAAACTTAAAGATAAGAATAGTTTAAACACCTAAGATTAAAGATGGTTTATCTTTCTCAACCAGTCTTCATAAATGCTTTGAAATAAATTCTGGAAAACACCCACCTTCATCTTTAATCTTTCAGTCTGCTCAATCAGGCTCTTTTGTTTGCATAGTCATCACCATCATCAAAATCATCATTAGAATCTTCATTATCTCTGCCACCCTTATTATAGTTGTATTTTCCATTACCGCTCCCATCACCTCCACCGCCAGCACCACCTCCAGAGCCATAATCATCACCACCGCCACCATAACTCCCACCGCCATAACCTCCACCTCCACCGTAACCACCACCACCACCATATCCTCCACCGCCAAAACCACCACCACCACCATAACCACCCCCGCCATAACCAGCACGACGTTCAGTAGCAAAATTAACTCTAACAATTCTCCCATGGAGTTCCTATAGAACAAGCAATGATATAATAATCATGTCAAAACATGAACATATAAAATAAAATAAAAACTAATAAATAAGTAGAAGTTATCCCAAATGGCCCCTAAGTCAGTGGTTGGTGATTGAATTAGGTTTGCAAGAATTAGACTTTTGATTCTCTACAATCAAATAATAATGAAATTTGCATCTGCAAAAAAAGATATAGCCATCAATTGAAAAAACCTATATAAGATTCTGTGTTTGTATGCATTGATCTCCTTTCTATTTTCTATTGCTTTTCTCCCCTAAGCCACTGAAGAATCAAAACATCTTGTATACATTCATTTTTCCAGACTCTGCATTAGAAGAACAACAAATTGCCACCTAGAAATCAAATTCTTGTGTGGAAACTGGAAACCCAAAGAATATTTGAACATCATAAGAGTGACTATCCAACAATTTCCATTTACTGCTACATCCTCTGATCTTATCTATAAATTCATCAGCATTCCTAAATTAAAGCTAGCTAGATAATAACTTCATTGCTTGAACAAAAAAGAATACAATAAAAAAGCATTCATCTGATAAATAAAAAAATTCTAAAAGAATAGAAGCAACCTTTCCATCCAAGGCTGTCATGGCAGCAGAGGCCTCTTCACCAGATGTGAAGCTTATAAAACCAAAACCTCTTGACCTGCCAGATTCCCTATCAGTGATAACCCTTGCTGAAAGAAATAAGACAAAATTTAGTTTAAAAAACACAAAAACAGCCATTTCAAGACCTATTAAAACAACAAAGCTTGATAACATACCATCAACCACTTCACCATAACCAGAAAATGCTTCTCTAAGACTCTGATCATCTGTGCTATAAGACAGACCTACAGTGTTGCACCACAGATCCAGAAAAAAAGTTAGTACATTAAAAACTCTTCATTGGAACTAAAATTAACAATCAAAAGCATGAAGCAAAACCTCCAACAAAAAGCTTTGAAGATGACATGCATCGCATTGCTTGATAGATTGATGGGTTGGACAGTACAGCCTTCTTGAAGAGACTCCCAATTTTATTGGTAAAAGCCATCGCACAAAACCTTAACAGAAGTTTTGATTTACTGCAGCATGTAAGCAGAAAGCCCAATCAAATAGGAGAATTTAAAATAAACACAAATTCTAGAAAAGAGTAAGTCTCAAAAGTTATTATGCAGCCACTGGAAATAACATAAAAACAGAACAACAAGGCAAGTGCTTAATAACTAATTTCCTCACAGTCATAGAAAAAAAGTTCTGAAACGTCCCAAAAAACCGCCTTGATCGAGCACGAATCTTTATGCATATCTGAATTGGAAACTTACAAAATTAAATTGGGACCATCGAAACTCTGATTTCAACAAACTTGTATTCAAAATCGGTTCAATCTGAGCCCAAATGGGCCCAAATCAAGAGACCAAAGCATATTTATAAGCTTTAGTGAATAAATGGATAACCAAATGATATCCTAATATAGCATGCATATAGCCGAATCGTGCAACTCGACAAGATGAATCCAACAAGCCCAAGATTGCTAATTTTGATATCATTAAGGCACAAAAACACTCGACAAACACTCCATGATTAGGGGAATCAATATGGGCAGTTTGAGCACTCCGAATTTGCCTTGGATTTTCTTCATATTTATAGGGCATGTCACTCACAAAATCTATAAATAGGCCCCCTCTTCTAACATGAAAGTGGGTGTTGGCGTAGACTTTTTGGGAGAAGACTTAGACCTTGAGCTAGAGACTCAAGAGTGCTCTAAGGTTTGAAGAATCACGGAGCTCCACCCCTGCACCAACGGCGAACCCGTGCAACTTGGCGGTCGTTGCTGGACCTCTTCCCGACCATCGCCTTAGGACATCTGTTCAGTAGTCACCGCTAGGCCTTTGTCTGACCATTATCGCCGGTCGACTATTGTCCCTTGCCCGGCAACTAAGGTCCCTCTGATCTTCGTCCCCTCTGACCTCTATCATCAGACAACGATCCCCTCTTCCTCTGCCACATGACTACGATCTCTCCGACCTCCATCACCCAACTACGATAACTCCAACCTCCGTCGCCCGACTACGATCCCACCGACCAAATGAACAAGCCAGTGTTCTTTTGAGAATAGCTCTAATATCACTGGATTTTCCCAACTCCCATCATATAATGTGTTCTACATGATGTATATTTGTTACATTAAGCCAAGAACTTCCCCCGAGGAAGGGCATCATTTGTAATCCAATACAAAAACTAGTAGAATCATTTTAACTGGGTCATACCCTGTGATTTTCCCTATTTTCAGGGTTTTCCACAAAATCTTGGTGTCTCTTATGACTCCTGCACCCTATCTCTAATCTGCATGTGTTGGATCTTTGAACAAAGATAGGATGCTAAACCCTATATATTTCAACCGTTGTGAATGTTTCGGCACGCAACAAGTTCATAGAGTGAAAAATCATTCCATCTCTCTCTCTAACCCTTGTTTATATGAAAAAAGTTCTCTTTTGACCATGGAGATTGCTATCAAAAGATAACCAATATACACTTAAAAACAAGAAAAATACGTTTTTTTTATGCTCTATAATGCTTAAAAGGCACCATACTATTAAAATTACAAACTTTCTCGAACAACCAAATCCATCAATTGAAACGTTGACTATGCATGCGATGCCCATCAACTTGACTTCTTCATGTTCGGCTTGACGATAAGTAAGGCTCATAAAAGCAAGATTTTTCAACTCATTTGTTTTCAGCTCCACATCTTAAGACCTGAGCTGAATCATATTCAGCATGACCAAGATCAGAACTTTAACTCCCTTTCCTCAAACTAAAGTCAATCTTAGCGAACCAAATCTATCTACGCCCATAACTAGATTTAAAAAAAACAAAAAACGAAAAATTATATTTTGGATTGAAAACATCAATAACCACAATAATCAGAAGGTAATCCAAAGCAATCTTGGTAAGGAAAGGAGTTAAAAGATACCGAATCAAATAGAAGTTAGGGCTTCGTTCTCTATAGGTCGCCTCTTCTTCTGCTCTCTGCCAAAAACCCTGTTGCTCGTGTTTTGTTTGGATTGGGAGAGGGTTTAGGATTCAGCTTTCGACGGCCTTAGTCGGTTTTATACAGGATTGGCCTGGCCATTGGATCGGGTAGATCTGAGCCGTTCGTTTGTTGTCAAATGTTCCGCAGAAGAGTGTTGTTCTTCATTTGATTCATCATTGCAGAATATTATAATCGGAATACCGCTGGAGCAGGTTAACGGCTACAGCAGCCTGGCACCTCTTCTGTTGAGCCGCACTGAAATTTTACTACACTAAATAAATTTTCTACAAATTTTCTCAAATTTTATTCTCTTACACATAATTTATTTATTTGTTTATTTATAACATCATTGAAATATTTTTTTTAAATAAATAATAATAAATTATCACTTGAATTCTTAATCTCAGAGAAACAACTAATTTCATCATATATTTTTTCGAAGAAGTATTTCAATCTTTTATTTCTATTATAAATAAAATACTTTAAAATAGAATTGCTAATTTATTTTAATTACCTCTTAAACTTTACTAAGTTATCAAGAAATTCATTTTATCAAGCATAAATTTAAATCTTATTTTCATATCTCAATACACAAATTTATTCAAATAATTTTTTTTTTGTAATCATCTAAACTCCATTGTCACTAAATTTATAGTTAAAATGAATATTTCAATGAAACAATTCTCAAGATATTAAGAACACATTGATTCGAATTAAGATGACCTAAATCAAATAATAAGAAGGTTACTTGGAAACTTTTTAAGGTCATTTGGGGTCAAACATACTTGAATTTTCATTGCTTCAACTTAAAACAAACATCTTCACGAGATGAATTGATGAACACAAGATCGTCCAATTATGATATCATCAAGGTATTAAAATGTCCAAAAAATGTTAGATGTCAACATAAACCACATGATATAGCATATTCATTTCTGATATAAATGACAGCAATATTGCACCTAAAAATATATAAACAAACTCTACTTTTATACACGTTAATACAACCACCATGAAGGATTATGCAAGAGAGAATATATTAGAGTTATAACTCAATATATGCATTAGTATTCAACAACGTCATTGATCACTATCAATGCATGTTGTTATTAAAAAGGTTAATATTTGTAATCATCAATAAGATCACAGCCTTTTGTCGTTGATAAAGTTGATGCTCACTACTGCAAATACAACTGACACATGCCATCGCTAGTAAAACTGACTGCCAAATGCCACCAACCTCAATGCTTTAAGGCTTCTCGATCTCTTGCTTCCATTTTAGAAGCCATCCAAAATTCATTAATATGCATCAGTATAATTTTCTAACAATAGAGAAATGGATCATTTATTTAACTATAGAGCTTCTAATGCATATAAAAATCTTTTTATGTATAATCAAAATTTCATAATAAACATTTTTTTTACTAAGCTTTATCTTATTAAAAAAATTATACAACCAAGATAGAATAATTTATTTGTCCATTTACCTAACATAACATTGAACATATATACTATTGTATGAGCTAAATAAGAAACTAGCAAGATAAATAACTCTTATATGTATGTAATTCAAATATAAGAAAAAATTAATTTTACTCATATGTTAGTCCATCTAGGGTTTAACATGGAATCCTTAAATATTAAAATATGTGAATAATATTTGATTTAATTGTAAGTGAAATATCAAATTGGAAACAAAACCTTTGACAATATGTTAATGCTTCAAACATTGACTATACCATATTAAAAGTGCTTACATGTTTCATTTTATTAAACTAATCTATTTCAAAAAAAAAAAAAAAAAAAAAAAAAAACATTTATATATGAATCTTTTAGCTTTAGAATATATCATCTAAGTGAGAGTGATTCATTGGCTATCACAAGCTTGAAAGCTACTTATTGAGGACCATTTTGCCTATGTAAATGTCCAATTTTGTATCCCTTTTTGTACATATCATCATAAATATCTTTATTTCAGAATAATTTTTCCTCTTAGGAGCTCATATTTGTCACCCTATATGTAGAACATCACCAACCTATTTAGATATTACATATGATTGATCTTTCTACAGCTTGTTCCTTTTAATTTAATTTTTTAAACTCACACACACACACACACACACACACACACACACACACACATATATATATATATACACACACGCTTTAATATAAAGGATTTTTCATTGTAATTATCTTATGTACCGATCTAGCATATCTATTTATACTCAATTATTTCAAATGAATTTATTTTTTGAATTACAATTATATATCTTATCTAATTGAGGACATCAACGATCAACCTCTGGATATACTATCTCATTATTGTCATCTCTAAATCTCTTTAGTTTGTAGTAGATTTAATGCATTCAAATCAAATCTTAACTTCTTAAATAACTTAAAATCAATTATTTAAGAAGCGGAATAATCAGTATGGCCATGAGCTAGCTGGTTTAGACATGAGTCTATTACTTCTTAATCATAGCAAGATGTTTCTACCCAATACTATGCGAGTCATAAATGACTTTTTACTATTGCCAACACCATCACAATTAGGATATACAATTATGACCTCTACAGCAACACCTCCTTGAACAACCTTATCATTAAACTTGGTATGCAAATCATCTTTAGTTGAAGATGGTTTTATCATTGCTTTCACATTAGTAGTTTGATCTTGGCCAGCTTAAACATTTTTCTCAGTAAAATTTCCAGATGACTTCAACGAGGGGAGTTAGGATGGGGGCCATGGGGCCACGGGCTCACATTGGCCATTCACATAACAATTTATTTTAGAAGTTAAAACTTACAAAGCAATCATTACGCAACCTATCACACTACACATAAAGCCCACATAATAATTGATTTAAAATTTAAACACAAAGCAAAATTGCTCTTGGGGATCAAACCCAACACCTCTTGCTTCTTTAAGCAACCTCTCATCCAGTAGACCACAAAATAATTTACTCATACGCTTTTATTTTATTTTATCTTATTATTACATTTTAATTATATATATATATATATATATAAAAGTTGTTTTTCATTACTAAATGATGATGCTGACAATCGGCAATTTTTTTTGTTTTGGTAATAATCCGCTTCTGACAAGTATTTTTTTTTTTCCAACAAGCCAAGGAGATTGTTAGGTGGGGAGTCAAAAAGCAGCTTATGTTCGAACTTCAATCAAATATTCAAATATATATAGCATGTGACATAGAAGAGCCATAACTTCACACAAGAGAAAGAAAATCTAATAGGACGGTTCGTTTTGAATAGAAGTTTTAAAGAAACGCTAAAGTTGGTTGCTCAATTCGCATTTGGCACATCCGGGTTTGTGTAGTCCGTTGTCCGCCTTCTGTGTTCGGCACCTTTTCCAGCAACTCGATGAGTACTCGAGCCGAGCTTTATTTTGATCGAACTAGAGCTCAATAAGCCAATGAACCGGAAAAACTGCTCGTACTAGAACTCAATACTCGATAAATTTGACTCCCGAACTCGAGTCTAATTTGAACCGCCTCAACTCGTTAGCACCTAATATATGCAATCAGTAATCTCTACATTGTGTACGGGCACGTAATAATTTCTCCGAAGGCACGAGCGAACCAGCAAGGCAGCGAAGTGATAGCAGCGAAGACTTGCTGCGTCAAAACACCTCTCTTTTTTTTTTCTCCAACAATCTCTTTCCATGGCCTCGTTTTCGTTTTCCAACTCTCCGAAAGATACTGGATTTTAGAATTCCGCTTCTCCTCAGCCTCTTTTTCTTCTTCGCAGCCCGATTGCGACGATTCTTTATTGTGAGGTTTCAGCCAGGGGCTCTCGAATCATGCAGCGTCCGCTGGCGATGACTCGCCGCCGGGACTTACACACGAAAAATCTTACCTTTTCCATTTTCCAGCTCTTCATCCTCCTAGCCCTCTTCACACAAGAAGCCCTTTGCTTCAGCGACCGCTCCTCACTACTCCGCTTCAAGAGCTCCGTCTACGACCCTTCAGGACTGCTTGCCACGTGGTCCGCTGGCGGCGCCGACCATTGCTCCTGGCTTGGGGTCCACTGCGACTCGCGCTTTCGGGTAGTTGCAGTCAACATCTCCGCTTGCCCGGTCTTTGGCCGGAGTTGCCCGGATCAGATGTTGCGGTTCGCCGGGCAGCTACCCACCGCCGTTTTCGATCTCACAGAGCTTAAAGTTCTCTCCTTACCGTTCCACGCCTTCTTTGGAGAGATTCCTGGTGAAATCTGGAAGCTAAAGAGTCTGGAGGTTCTTGATCTAGAAGGTAATCTCATCTCCGGGAGTATTCCACTGAGATTTCCCCGTGGCTTGCGCGTGCTGAACTTGAGATCCAACCAGATCAATGGTGTTATACCGTTCTCTCTCTCAAGCTGTTTGGAGTTGGAAGCCTTAGAGCTATCTGGAAACCAGATTAATGGTACAATTCCACTGTTTTTTGATAAGATGGTTAACTTGAGAAATCTGCATTTGTCCTTCAACTTTCTCAGCAAGTCAATTCCAGAAGAGATTGGAGCCGGATGTTGGAATCTTGAGCATTTGGATCTATCAGGGAATCTTCTGTTGGGTAGCATTCCCCACAGTCTAGCAAATTGCAGCAAACTTCGATCTTTGATCTTGTTCTCTAATCTTTTGGATGGTTCCGTGCCTTCTGATTTTGGTCGATTGAAAGAACTTGAAGTTTTGGATGTTTCACAGAACAGACTCAGTGGTGTTCTGCCCTCGGAGCTTGGAAACTGCACACAGTTATCTGTTCTCATACTTTCGAATCCTTATCATCCAATTCGAAGAAAGGAAGACAATGACGATAAGGTAAATATTGATGACTTCAATTGTTTCGAGGGTAGAATTCCTGATAGCATAACGAGCTTGCCTAATCTTAGGATGCTCTGGGCTCCCAGAGTATCACTGAAAGGGGCTATCAGTAGCAACTGGGGCACTTGTGAGACCTTGGAGATTATTAACTTGGGAGAGAATCTGCTAACAGGGAAAATTCCAACGGTTTTTAAACGGTGTCAAAATCTTAAATTTCTTAACTTAAGCTCGAACATGTTGACTGGTTTGGTTGGCGAGGAGCTTTCAGTGTCTTGTATGGATGTTTTTGATGTCAGTGAGAATCAGTTATCTGGGTCAATACCTGTGTTTGTTAACAAAGCATGCGGATTGCCCAAATCCTATGAAGATGACCATTTGTTTACTTATGTTTCTTCTTTCTTGTCCAGAGCTCGTGCTGCGATTTCCTTTCGGTTTTTCGAACCGACAAGTAGTTTTATTGTGTATCATAATTTTGGTGGAAACAACTTTACTGGTAATCTGCCTACTTTTCCATTAGCAGCTGATAAATTTGGAGAACAGATAGTCTATGCTTTCCTTATTGACAGGAATCAGCTTGTTGGGCCATTGATGGGTAGTTTATTTGAGAAATGCAATGCATTACAAGGGCTGGTTCTTAACTTTAGCAGTAACTTGATCCATGGTGGAATTCCAGAAAAAGTAGGTACTTTGTGCAAGGGCCTAATGGTTTTTGATGCTTCTAGTAATCAAATAACAGGAATAATTCCCAAGAGTTTCAGGTTTGCTGAAAACCTTCTTTCTCTGGACTTGAGTAGGAATAGACTCGGCGGCCAAATTCCTGCTATTTTTGATAATTTGAAGCACCTAAGATTTTTCTCGGTTGCCAGTAACAACCTTAGTGGCCAAATAACTTCAGACTTGGATCAATCAGTCTCTCTTGAAATTGTGGATCTTTCTTTCAATTCGCTCACAGGTGTGATCCCTGGAGGACTTGTGAAACTGAAGAATCTTACCGCCCTCATACTTGATGGAAATAAACTTTCTGGAAAGCTTCCAAACTTCTCATCACTCTCTATGTTCAATGTTTCATTCAACTATCTGTCTGAACCTTTACCTTTTAGCTCCAGTAAATTGAGTTGTGACACTTCCAATGGGAGCCCCTTATTCTCCAAATGCCAAAAAGTGTCTCTATCTATTCCTCCATCTTATCCACGAGTGCTAGTAGAAGATTCACAAGCATATAATGATGCTGTTAATGCAAGCTTGCCTGCTAAGAGTAATAATGGATTCAACTCTATTGAAATAGCCTCAATATCTTCAGCATCAGCAATAGTTTCAATTCTTTTGGCTTTAATTGTCCTCTATGTTTACACTAGGAAATGTACCCCAAGGTCGTCACAACAAACACCTGGACAAAGGGAAGTCACTATTTTCACTGATATTGGCGTCCCGATTACGTACGAGAGTGTTCTTCGAGCTACGGGAGGCTTTAATGCTAGTAACTGTATTGGAAGTGGTGGCTTTGGAGCCACTTACAAGGCTGAGATTCACCCAGGAGTTCTTGTTGCTATTAAAAGACTCTCAATAGGAAGGCTCCAGGGTGTTTTGCAGTTTGATGCAGAGATAAAAACTCTTGGAAGATGGAGGCACCCCAACCTTGTGACTCTGATAGGATATCATCTCAGTGACTCTGAGATGTTTCTCATATACAATTATTTCCCTGGAGGTAATCTTGAGAGGTTTATTCAAGAAAGATCGAAAAGGCCGACGGATTGGAGAGTTTTTCACAAAATTGCTATCGATGTAGCTCGAGCTCTTGCTTATTTGCATGACCATTGTGTGCCTCGTATTCTTCATCGTGATGTCAAGCCTAGCAATATACTTCTGGACAATGAGTACAATGCTTATCTCTCAGATTTTGGACTGGCAAGGCTTTTAGGGAACTCTGAAACTCATGCGACCACCGGCGTCGCCGGAACTTTTGGATATGTTGCTCCAGAGTATGCCATGACTTGTCGTGTTTCTGATAAAGCCGACGTGTACAGCTATGGTGTGGTGCTGCTGGAATTGCTCTCTGATAAAAAAGCATTGGATCCATCATTCTCTCCATATGGAAATGGCTTCAATATTGTTGCTTGGGCATGCCTCTTACTTAGACAAGGACGAGCTCGTGAGTTCTTTACAGATGGATTGTGGGGCGTCGGTCCACGAGATGATTTGCTAGAAACATTAGATTTAGCTGTAATGTGTACTGTAGATTCACTTCCAGTCAGACCTTCTATGAAGCAAGTTGTTCAGAGGTTGAAGCAACTCCAGCCTCCAAATTACTAGCACCTGCAATTCTAGCTATTAAAAACTGACTCAGGGAAGGCTCTGTGAAAGTAATAATGCGCAGATGAGTACACAACTACTATGTACTCACTGTGTGCTCCATCTTTTTGGAATCTGCAATGGGTACACAACAATTCTCAACTTTGTATTCCATTTTTGGGACTGTACAATTGCATGCTCTTGGCTTCTGCACTTAGAGTTAGATATGTAGTCCCTTTTATAAAATTTCTCCTGTAGCGATGAGCTGTAAATGCCTCCATCAGGAACAAAGCTAACTACTAGTTTGTTTGTACTAACGCATCATAAGCAGGGTACATGTAAGATGTAAATTAACTAGTTCAGTTTTTAGAATGAGATAATTGTATCTTGATTTCCTTTCTTCAGTGCATAATGCTTTAAGTTTCAGTTTCTTAAAAATCTAATCAACTAATATTGTATGTAACGTTGGAACTTTTGTGTTATTTGAGGTGTTCCATTTACTTATATTTGTAGCTATGCTCAAATTCTATAACTTTCTGAAGAATGGTTTGGAGAGAAATATCTTTTTTCACAACAAAATGAAGAACTTATGATGACTGTTGTCAAGCAACTTGTCTTATCTTTCATGGCACCTTTCAGAAGATTGATTACTGCCCCAAATAAGAGGAGGATAGCAGTAAGAAAGCTATTCCAAACAAAACTTAAGAGTAAATATATTTCCAATCTAATTATTACTATTTTCTGTCCATGTATGGGACATTTTGTTAGTAAGTAGTTATAATTAGCAAAACATGCTATTACCTGCCCTTGCTTCTTACAATGTCCAATTTGATTGATCCTATTTTCTTGATGCCGACAAGAATTGGCATATTGCTTCTGCATGTCCATCATTAGCCTCATGGCCCTCATCCCAACTATTTGTGCCTAGCTTTACAAATTCTTATTCTCAATGCCTTATTGTTGAGTATTGCATGACATATTGCAAATATTATTTTACAGTTTCTATTGATGTTATATTTTTTCTGATATTTTCTTTTTTGTAATATCATTAATTTTATTTTTCATGTTCTATCATTTTGTATTGTATACGTCAAAATCATCGAATTGTATTTTTACTATCTTATCTTCAATAGATATTACTTCAATCATCCCATTAAACTTAATAAGTATCCAAACTTTCAATCATAGTTCATTCACAAAAATTTCTTGATGTCGTAGCAAATAAACTCGACTCATTAATACGCTCATGAGCTAGACGTATCTAAGTAGTGAGCCGAGCTTGAGCAGTGAGCCCGGATGGAGTTGTAAAAGAGCTCAAATTTGAGTTATAAAAGAGTTATATTTATATGCTTAGACAAAAAATTATCTACATTCATTATCATTGTAGGACTCGACGTGATTGAGCTCTAGCAGCAGTGGCAGAAGCAATAGTTGTTAGCTGGCTGTAGTAGGGATTTCAATTTTGGTTAATGAATTGGGCATGAATTTTGTATTGAATTTTATTACAAATATTTAAAGTATATTAATAGATAAAATTAAATTAGAATTAATTTAAAAGTAAATTTAATCATCCTAATTGACTTAGCAATAGAAGAAAAGTAATTCATAAATAAATATCATAACATAAACAACTTGATTTCATTTCGGACGGTTTTTTTATTGGTTCTAAAATAAATTTTTAGTATAAAAATTCAAATGAAGCCTTAATCTTGAAACAATAAATTAGATACCATAACGTTTAAAGATAATTATAGCATAATTTTATGATAATCTATAATTGACAAATGCAAATTTATTTAAACTAATTAAAATTAGATACCATACCACCACTTTTACATATTAAAAATAGATTGTCCACTTTGAATTACAAAGAGTAGCATATCTTTTATTATCAATATTATCATTATTATTATTTTAATGCATTTTGTTATTAGCAACCAATTAAATAAAGAGTCAGGGTCTAACTCCTGCCTAATCACAGTAGGGCATCAAAGAAGAAAAATGTGGTGAGGAATGCCTCATAGGGATTTTGTCAGGCTCTTTCAACCGGATAATTCTTTATATCTGCCTTTACATTTCAGCTTAGCAAACATAGGTGTGCTCAATACTCACTTGATCATTTCAACCAAGTGAATAAAGAGTCAGGGTCTGATGTCTGCCTGATCATAATAGGGCATCAGAGAAGAAAAAGATGGTGAGGAAATACCTCATAGAAATTTTGTCGGGCTCTCTCAACCAAGTAATTCTCTACATCTGCCTTGCCATTTTAGCTTAATAAATATAGATGAGATCAATACTCGCTTTACCATTTCAACCAAGTGAATAAAGAGCCGGGATCTGACGCCTACCTGATCACAATAGGACATCAGAGAAGAAAAATGTGGTGAGGAATACCTCCCATGGACTCTACCGGGCTCTCTCAACCGGGTAATTCTCTACATCTGTCTTGCCATTTCATCTTAGCAAACATAAATGGTCACAATACTCACTTGATCCTTTCAACCAAGTGAATAAAGAGTCGGGGTATGATGTCTGCCTGATCGCAATAGGGCATCAAAGAAGAAAAGGATGGTAAGGAATGCCTCCCATGGACTTTGTCGGGCTCTCTCAACCGGGTAATTCTCTACATCTGCCTTGCCATTTCAGCTTGGAAAATATAGATGATCTTAATACTCACTTAAACATTTCAACCAAGTGAATAAAGAGTCAAGGTGGTGGGGTATGTCTGCTAGGAACTTTGTCGGTCACTCCACAAAGCAAGTAAGTGGCCAACTACCTGCCTGATCATGTCTAGGCAACAGGAAAGAAGGCGAAAGTCATCTCAACACCAACATGACACAGATCCATGTAGGGATGTGAGGAAAAAGTAAGGGTAATTTAGGTGGTGGTATGCCTCCTAGAGACCATGTAGGGCACCCCACCAGGTAAGTAAGTAAGTGACCAATTACCTTCCTTACTCTGTCGAGGCAGCAGGATAAAAGACGAAAGTCACCTCAACTCCAACCTGACACAGATCCGTGTAGGGATGCGAGGGAAAAGGTAAATGTAATTTAGGTGGGGGTATGCCTCCTAAGGACCCTGTAGGGCACCCCGTCAGGTAAGTAAGTAAGTGGCTAGCTACCTGCCTGACTCTATCGAGGTGGCAGGATAGAAGAAGAAAGTCACCTCAACACCAATCTGACACAGATCCGTATAGGGATGCGAGGGAAAAAGTAGAGGTAATTTAGGTGGGGGTATGCCTCATAGGGACCCTGTAGGGCACCCCATCACGTAAGTAAGTAAGTGGCCAATTACCTGTCTGACTCTATCGAGGCAACATGATAGAAGGCGAAAGTCACTTCAACACCAACCTGACATAAATATGTGTAAGGATGCTGTTGGTGGGATTTTGAAAACATGTTTTGAAAAATATTAGTTTTCTTTGGGGGATTTAAAATTAAGATTTAATTCTAATTCTAAAGTCGAATCAACTCGTTAGAAAAATTATATCACCCCGAAGGATGAAGATAAATCCTCATAGCGGCGTTCAGACTTAGAATTATGGAACTCATCTTAAATATTATGATCGGATTCTAAAGAAAAGTTTCAAATGGCCCCGAGGGAACAGAATGAAATTCAACTAAATATCCAATTATAATATTTAAGGAATGTAGTCGTCGAATCCACATCCAAAGTCTTATCAAAGAAAGATGGATCTCCCCGAAGGGGGATAACACCATTCAATGATAATCCTCCTAATGTAATAACGACAATCATTTTTTATCTTTTTCCCAAAGAAATCTAATGGGGTTTTGGAAAATGGAATGGGTCAAAATTGAACAGTTATTGACAGAGTTAAGGGAGGAGAAGTAGGGGACACTTTGAGATTCCAGAGCCATCCGGAAGTGTCCCAACTTAATCTAAATGTTGGGCTTTATGTTTTGGATTGAAATGATATTTAATTAGAGTTGAGCATTTTATTAGAAATTTGGGACTACATTCCTGAAATTTGGGGTCTTATAATCAAAGATCTGCCCCAAATCCTAAATCTAATTTGGACACTGGACCACAGTCGTTCGATCCTAACTAATGTAGTGCAAGGTCTGGACTCACCCTGGCCTGGATTGGGGAGCCAGCTAACCACCTAATAGATTTAAAAGAGATGAGTCCGGTCTTTTATGAAAGAGTGGTAGGGACATTATATTTAAGGTTTAGGAGAGTTGGAGCCGACATCTAGAAATTCTCTAATTAGCCCCTTTGACTTATATTGGGTGCAAAATGCTAAGGACTATGCCATTAAAATTTTAACTCTTTTAATTTGTATCTAATGCAATGCATGCTGGTTGATAACTTCAAATCAAGTATGCTTGAAATTTTAAAAATAAACTTAAAAAATAATTTTTTAGAAGACTAGACTTCCCCAGGTTCGGCACCTCGTCCTCATAGGTCAGACTATTCAGACTCTACCCGCATGTGGGGAAGGGTCTAAAGCAAGGAAAGAGTAATGCATAAATATGCATGCGACCCAGGGTCGATCCCCGGCTAATTCCCTAGATTCATTATCTTTCTATGTTATTTAGACTCGCTAACATTTTAAACTTTTAAGGTTATGAATATAAAAATTTTCACACCCTCACGAGCCTCACGAGTCCAGGCAAAAACAAAGAGCGGCATGCAATCGCCAAAAAATCAATTTGGAGTTTTCCATCAAAAGTTATGATTTTTAGAAGTTTTGACCAGCTTTTGACCTAGAGTTGACCAAAATGTCGACTTTTTGGCTTTGACCATATTTTGGGGGTTTGAAATTTTTGGAAAATACTAGATTTTAATTAGAGTCATTAGCCACTGAGTTTGATTGATTTTGAATTTCCTACAATTAATTATGAATTTTGAAAGTTTGGGTATTTACTGGAATTATTAAATTGCTTTAACTAAGGGCCCTTTTAATGATTTGAACCCAAATGAGTCCTAAACTTCTTGAAATCAACTCCAAAGATCAGAAATGATCTAAGGAGAGATCAACAAGTGTTTAATTTTTTTTTTGGGATTTTTAATATTTTTTTAATTAATTAATATTGATTAAACATTGGTTTTAACTTAAAATTAAATCAAAATAGATTTAAAAGACAAACTCAAGTGATTTCAATTTTCACTGATTAAGGGGTCAATTGAGGTCAATCAGAAGTATTTTGGGGAATTTTGGGAATTAAATTTGATTTATTAGAATTTTATTAGGGTTAAAGGTCAATTCTAAGGGGGAAATACTATGGCTCCTATTTGGTGAACCAAATGAACTCCAAATCTGATGAAATTTGGTCCATAGGATCACCTGATCCTAAGGACTAATCCCACTAAATTTGGGCTCAAATGGAGTATCCTATGGTGACTAACCAAGCCACTTAAGGTGAACTCTAAGCCACCTTCA